TATATATACATATATATGTATATATATATAATATATATATAATATATGTATATTCTCTGTATAAATAATATATACATATGTACATATATATGTATATATATATTATATATATATTATATATATATTATATATATATAATAAATATGTTATCTATAAATACAGTATATATATAGAACATATATGTATGTATATTTGTCTACAAGCACATTACTCCGTCTTTATTTGAGGGCCCGGAAAAATACCATTATATTTATATTTGGATCTACTTAAATGTTCAAATACAGGGGCAAATAAGGCAGGTGCTGCATGCATGCAAATGCATGCATGCATGCACTCAATTGTCTGTATATATATATATATATCTGTAGCATAGCCCATATATACGTAATAGATAATAGGTATATTACATATACACATATATACACACATTGATATATTAATACGCACACACACACACAAAATATATATATATATCTTTATATATATATGTATATATGTATATATTTGTAGATATATGCATATATGCACTTGCATGCATGCATGCATACACACTTGAATCTGTTCAGAAGTATATATTCAAACATGCACTTGAAGTTTATGCTTTTGGGGCCCATGCATGCATATGCATGCGATGTGGGCTAGAACTTGTACACAAATAAATACAAATTATATTGTTATAATTCGCACTTGCATGCATGCATGCATGCATGCAACCATGCATGCGCGAGTGCATGCGTGTATATGCAACGCATGCAGCGCGCACTCCTACGGCAGCACATGGGCACGAAAATAAATAAAAATATTAAAGCAAATATGAAAAAAAATAAAATACAAAAAAATGTACAATCGCATTATAAAGGGGTTTGTAGACTATGCAGTAAAAGGCCTCGGGGAAAAGCTGAAAAGAAAGTTTTGTTTTATTTGAAGGTCTATGCCCCATTATTTTGCATGCATGCTGCTGCTCGTTTCCTTTCTTTCAGGAACAAAGTAACAAAGACTTGAATCGAGAGTTCCACAGGGAAACAGCATCGTGCTGCAGCTGCTGCAGCAGATGCTGCCGCAGCTGCTCCAGCAGATGCTGCCGCAGCTGATGCTGCTGCAGCACGTGCTGCTGCTGCTGCAGCAGGTGCTGCTGCTGCAGCAGGT